CCCTCCTGGAGTGCCGAAGTGGGAAGCGACGGAAGGCGGGGGGGGGCTGCTCCAGTGCGGCGTCGGGCCCTGATCCTGGATGCCCCGAGTGCCTTGGGTGGGCTCCGACATCTGGGCGCCGTCGCGCGCGATCTGTCTTCCGCTCGTCGCGCACGCAAATTCCTTTCCGCGCAGATCTCTTCCCACCCGCTTCGGCGAGGTCGATTCATGGCCACCATTGAACGCAGCGCCCTCGCGGTGGTTAGCGCGCCAAACAAGGTGTAGCGCTGCGATGTGCAAGGCTCCGACAGAGGCCCGCGTCTTGGTTGTCCATGCGGTTGTGGCCGCTGTGCTTTGGGCCCTCTCGCCTCCTCTGTCGGATCACAATGGCGCGGCGCATGCAGCGGCGCGACGCGTCGGCCCCTAACTCACTCGCTCCCTCGGCACGATGACCCCTGGGGCCCAGCCTGCTGCCTGGCCCGTTCACGTCCGCGCGGCGTGCCGGCGTGCGCGGGTCGCCCTCGGGGCCCTGATTTGCCGGGCTGCCTCCAGAGACGGGCTCGGTCGTGAGAGCTCGTTGTGGCCCGTCTGTAAATAGATCGCGCCATCCCCCGCCCAATGCTCGGCCCCCCCGCGGAAGGTTGACGTTCGCCAAGCCGATGGGCGCCGTCGCCGCGGCACCGGGGGCCCGCGCGCGACGCGCCCTGCCTGCCGACCGTTCGGCACCGGGCTTGCTGGAGCAGCGCCCGAGGCCAAACTGGGCGCGACGGCAGCTAGCGCCCGCGCGCGGATCTAGGCGCAGTCTTGGAGGCGCGCGACGGCGCCGCGCGGCGCGTCGAGGGCCCGCCCCTGGTTCGTAACCTGCGCCTTCATCGCGCCCAGCGCCTCGAGAATGTAATATTCGGCTGCGTCTCCGGCAGGTCCTGCCGTTCCTGATGCCGGCCGGCCCTCTGCCTCGGCGTGCTTCTGGCAGCGTCTCGGCGCCGAATTCGCCCACCCCCACGTGTGCGCGCTCTCCCGGGCGGCGGCCCCGGGCTGTCTTCCGCGGGGGCGGCGCCTCGCCCCGCGGGGACCTCGACGCCCCGGTGGACTTCAGAATGCCCTGGGCCGACGGTTGGTCTCGGTGGCCACGGCCGCGATCAGCTGCAGGACTCGTGGCCTCGCCCTCCTGGACGGGCGTCGACGCGTAGACCGCCCTAACAAAGCGCCGGCTATGCTCGGCCCATTTCGCGCTGCCGTTGCCCAACAGCATCTCGCAGTCACAAAAATGCCGGTGCCCCGTCTGCTTCGGGCCGCAGCGCCCACGCGTCCTCGGGCAGCCCCGCGAGATCGGGGGCGACGACGAAGGCGAATGGCTGGGGGGGCGCCGCGTGCATCCATGGGCGCCGGCGATCCATGACTTCGACGAGGCCCCCCAGCGAGCGCGCGCATGCCCCCCCTGGGCCCCTGGGCCATTCGCCCTCGTCGTCGCCCCCGATGGGAACAGACGACCGCGACTGCGCATCTCGATCATGTTCGCGGCCAGCCGCCCCTCTCTCGCCAAGAACCGACTGGCCATGGCTCCCCGGCAGAAATATGGCATCGAGATCTCGCTTGGCATGGGCTGGCTCGTGAGCTCCAGCCGCCGGCGCCCTTCGTCGCTCGAGTCTCACAACCAGAATCGGCGAGCGGCGGCGGTCGGCTGGGCCGCGGGAAACTGAGCAAGAAATGCCAGGGGACCTGAGAGAAGGGGTTACGGGAATTCTGGGCGGGCTCGTCGAAGATTCCCTCTCGGGCTCATGTCCAGACGGGCGAGGCACGTTGTTGCACTCCTCGGCTTGCCGAGCCTCGCCAGATCTCTCCGCGACTGCAATGCCGGTGGCTCCCCGGCCCCCCGGACCTTTCCTTTTCCCTTCTGGCCCCCCTCGCTTCAGCCGTTGGTTTGCGGGCACTTCCCGCCGGGCTGATCTCCCCCATGTTCTGCCAGGTTGATCCGATAGCTCCTAGAGACCTTGGTGCCGATGGACTGTTATCCTGGATGTCGAACTCGTTCGAATTCGTCAACCCACGCGTCTGTTCCACGCGCCTTCTCTGGGGTCTCAGTCAGACCCTCGCGACAATCGCTCGACCACCGACGCCCTCCTTCGAATCGGATCGCACCTTATAACTGGAGGGAAAAAAACAAAACGCTCCCTTTTTCAGTCCACGCTTCGCTGCTACCCCTGGCGGCGCGGCAAACTGCTCTGGCGGGCCCGGGCGGGCTTCAAACGCAACTCGGTGACCGCTCGGCAGTTTCTTCTGCGCCCCCACCCGGCATCAGCGCCGGCAGCTCTTGTCCGACCAGATCTATTTTCATCGCCCCATTCCGCCCCTCCAGGCCGGGGCCAGGGCGCCAGAGGTCACCGGGACGCGGCCTCCAACGCCGCGCGCGAAGCTGCTGCTGATGGAGGTCGCGGTTCCAAGCGTTTGAGAAGCTTCTCCAGCCTCTTGTGCGTGGGCACATCTTTTGAGGAAAGCCAGCGGCGAATTTTCCCTTTTCCAGATGCGGAAATCTCCCAGACCCACACAAAAAGTCTGGATTTGACTCGTTGGGTTTGGACACGGAAGATCCCCAAACACTATCTCTTGGTTTTCAAGGCCAATATTCTTGGTTGCTTCCCACGTCATCTCGCCATTGGCTCTTGCGGTCCGGGTCGTACCACCAAACACCACGCGAAATTCCCCACGGGCTCGAATGCTCCCACCATCCTGCTGGCTGCTCGGCTGGCTTACGCCGACCGACCCCCGGGTCTTCTAGCACCCACGGGTCTTCTGCACCCTCTGTGGTCGACGCCCTCCCCTGGGCGCCTTGTATTCCCCTGCCCGACACGGGGCCTCAGCAGGAACGGAAGCAGCTCCAGCACCCAAGAGAAGCTTCAGCTCGTCCTTCAGCTCCTGGAGCTGGTGTCGAGTGTGCTCCTCTAGCCTGGCCTTGAGCTCTGCCCGCTGTGACTCTGAGAAGCCAGAAACGTTTGTACTAGACTGCCTCCCATCATGCATATTGGACTCCGTAGCTGCTGCACCCATCGGTCTACGATCACTGACCTTGTCTCAATTGCTAGAACGGCTGCTGCGCGGCGAAGACATGGCGGCGCCAGCAAAATCTCCACGGGCTCCACTACCACTGAGACGCCAACATCGCCAGCAACTATGAGGTGTGATGCTTTTGTTCAGACTCGGGGGCAAATTCGCCGGCCCAACGGGCCAGAGGCGTGCTAAGATCTCCGGTAACTTGTTAACAATATTTCTAGTTCGCGCGCGCGGAGCGGCCCCTGGGGGCCCCCGGACGAAAAGTACCCCGGCAAGGTCCCGAGAGAAGCCCGGGAGAAGCCACCAGACCACTCCAGGGGAGGGTATTTTTCGACACCCCTCACGAGGATCGTGGCCTCCGAGGGGGGAGCCGCAATCGACTACCCCCAAGAGCCCCCCAAGAGGCCCTGGGGGCCTCCAAAACGCCGCCAAGGAGCCCCAAGAGACCCCCAAGAGGTCCCCAAGAGGCCCTAAAGAGGGCTCCAGGGCCGGCGGCATGAGCGAAGCGATTAAATAAGTATCACACAGACGGTGCCCGAACCCATTATGATTACGGAAAGGGCACCTACGGAAGTAAACTGGATAATCGATTAATCTCACACGCTGCATTTCTTCAATATCAAGGGGCCGGCGGTGGGGCCGAAACCATGTGTAAACAGCAGACATCGGACCTCCTCCTTTCCCAAATTGTTTCCTGTCGTCCCACCCGAGAAAGCCGCGCACCAAAGGTCATTTCGGCAGAGTGTCACTCTTACGTCTGGCTGACTCTGCATCGCAGGCGCGATTTGCGAGGCTGGCGTGGTCTGGCAAGCGAGACTGCCTCCACCTCCCTCTCCCCTTCCCCTTCCCCCTCCTCCTCCTCCTCCTCCTCCTCCTCCTCCTCCTCCTCCTCCTCCTCCTCCTCCTCCCCTCCTCCTCGACGCAACCGAAGGCGCGAACAGATCCTGTCCACCTCTGAATATTGTCTGCGTCTGATGCTGAAAAACGGGTGGCGCTTCTGTTAGACTACTTCCGCCACCACATGGGCCGTCCGCGAAACACTGTGAGTCAATCGCTCTCTCTCCTGTGGCGGCTGGAGGCAAGACGCCACTGAGGCCGCCCTGTCAACTCTGGCCTGGGCGCCAGGGCGGGGCTATCGTCCTGCACCCCGGAAGGTAGAGCCACCACCCGACCGCCACGAGCGGGAGCGGCCTGGTGCAGTCGCGCAGGTGCACACACGCCGAGTCCTAATCTGTCGCCCCTGGACGGCTGCATCCCCCTCCTCGTTTCGTACCCAAACATCCGGCGACCTGATTTGTTCGGTACGCGGTCCCTGAAAGTCCCGATTATTCCCTGAGGTCGGCTTCTCATCCTGGATCGTGTCTTGACGGTCCCGAGGCCCAGCGAGGGCCCCACTGAAGCCGAAACCGGCCAAAGGCCCTCCGCCGTGCTCGTGCTCCACGACGCGAGCCTGCCTGGGTGAGGCCTGGGGTCGCGCACAAACTGTCCCTCGGAGGTCCGCCCCGGCTGGCCCCAGCAGCCTCCCCGAAGAGTGCGCGAAGTCTGGGGCTCAACTCGGGGACATACGAGGAAGGAGCCCATTCTCGTGAGGGGTGAGTCCGAATCGCAAGCTGGGCGGCCCAGCCTTTCGAGCGGAACTGGTGGACTGGGGGAGAAACATCGCCTGCCACTGCTGAGGCCAGCTGGGACTGGCCTGCGGGCCAGGCTGTGCGCAGCGTGAAGCCTTGCCGATGCAGCATGATTTGAGTGGGTCCGAAAGGATTTGATGGGGGCCCTGGAACTGTGTCGCCGTCGTCGGGCCTTTAGGGACCCTCCCCTGGCCCCAGGACCGCCAAAAACATATCAGGGTGAGTAAAAAGTTATGGGGAAACCTGCGGGGTCTCGGATCCATTCCTCTCACGACCCATGTCCTTCCTGGCGACCAATCCTCCTTGCTCTTCTCCTCCTCACATGGCGGTTGGGAAAATACGCCGCTAAGGCTGCTCTGTCGTCCTGGGCTCGAGCACCAGAGAGGGAGACCAGCCCGCGCCCTGAAAATACAGCAGCCACACGATCGTGACTAACGTCCCGGCCAGCAAGAGGCAGCAACACAAGTGCCACACACCAAAGCTGTCGCCCGTGCGCTCCCGCTCTAGGAGAACAAGAAACGGCACGAACATAATTCGTCGGAGGTCCGTGCGGGTTACTTGGGTCGGCAATGGCCCCCTTACCTGGCGCGCCCTTGGAGGCGCCTCAAAGGGGGCCCAGCGCCGATGCAAGAAATCCGCACGGATCTCCGAGACATTATCTTCATGACATGTTTTGCTCTTCGACGATTGCCCCCCCGCCCGCAATCCACGTCGATGTCCGCGTAGCCGCAGGGGTACATCATGGGCTCGGTCTCCTCCGCGCAGACCGGCGTCGCGTCGCGCCATCGCGAGGGCTCTGGGATCGGTTCACCCGCGGCTGCCGCGCAGCACATCGCGCCCCCCATGGCGCCCGCCACCCTCCAGCCGGGCGAAGGCGCATTACCTCCGCGCGCAGGTCAACCCGGGACTCTTGAGCCGAAACGGCTACGGAGAGGGGGCGGTCTGCTTCCGGGCTGTCGATGATGTTGGACAGCACTGGCACTCTCCTTACGATGGTCGGTGTGCCGACCATGCTTGACGGTGTCCTACGCTGGGCATGCGGTGTTCTCCGATCCTCAGCCGTAGGACTGCGGACATACGGCGACGGGGCGCTGAGCCATTGCTGAATGCTGAGGTCCTGAGGTTTCACCTGTGCCAACGTGAATCACAGCTCCTATGTTGAACCCATAACCTGGACTCTCTTGTTTGCCGCTGCTCCATGTAGTGCGTCTTGGGTGGCCCGCCCTGCTGCTCGTCAAGCTCTCTCCCAGACGAGCTACTTTCAGACGTGCATGATGGAAATTCAACACTGATCTCCTGGGACTCAAAAGTAGATCTGACTCGAGAGCCAGCCGCGCTGGCAATCATGTCGTCCAGCAGTCCCTTTGATTGAGGAGCCTTGCCTTCCGCCGTCGAAGAAAAAGGGAACCCCCACAGACAGTCCGCGCGAGCAGGCCGCCACATGGAGAGCACGGATGGAGGCTGGTGCTGGGTACAGTGCGGATGCGGGCCCAAGAGAACATGGCAAAAAACCAAACCCTGAACATCTGCGAGCGAGGTGCACCTGGGAGGAAACCCGGAGCACCCTGAACGCAACAACTTCGTCAACGGCGGCGGGAAGTCTTCGCGCTGCGCGCGGAGCGAATAAGCCCAGGGTACCCTGACGAACAACCTCTGGTTTCTTCATGTACGTCCCCACTTTCCAGTCGGGGACGCAGTGACCCGGGTCAATGCAAACCCAGGTCAGCGAGGCTTTGCAGGATCCTGCAAAATCCAACAGGATCCTGCAAGACCCTGCGCGCTGGCCTGGGCCAATGCAACCCTGATCCTGAAGGATCCTGCAAGATCCGGCGCTCTGGCTGACCCCCGTTTGCATTGACCCCCGTCTCAACGCCCCTGATATAGCCTGGCTAGTGACTGGCCCAGTGCCCGTGGCGACGCCGGCCAGCATGCCCCCCCCGACTCCCGCAAGACCTCTGGCGGCCGCCGCGCTTTTCGCAACGCCGCCCCCTCCCCCACCCGATCCCCTGGACCCCCGGTGAATCGTTTTCCGACAGCTCTGGGCCCCTCAGGCCCCCCGAACTCGGCGAAACACCTTGGGACCCGTTCCCCTTCCCTTCAGGACCAGCTACCAGACCACCTGAACCCAACTCGAAGACCCAAATCTCGGGTTGGGGGGGGGGAGGGGGCGAGTTCCACATATGTTTTTGCGATGTTCCCCGACGCCCCCCCCACTGGAAATGGATGGCAAATTGGGGCCTTCGGGTTGGGTTGGGGTGGTCTGGTGGGGGGTGACCTCAGGACCCGTTTGCTCCACTGCGAGATCTCAGCGCCGTAGCCCCTGGTTGGCCCTGCCTGGGACCAACGCTTCGCCCCCAGCTCCGACCGTGAAATTTCACAGCTTCGCGCGGACTTCCTGGGGGTCGGCGCTGAACCCCTCCCAGGCGCCTCTGGCGCGGGCCTTCAAAAACGCATGCTTATGCAATTGTTGTTCTCCTTCGGGCTCCTCCACTCCCACGCAGGACGCGGGGCTCGTCTTCAGCCTGCACGAGCGGCCGTTTCTCTTCCAGCCCGGGGGGGAGGGGGGGCCAAAACGGCCTCCAGACGCCGACAGCTGCGAGAGCTCGGGGAACACCAACAATGGCTTAGACATAATTAAGCCCGCGCCGATCCAAGAAGTCCGCGCGGACCTCCGAGAAATGATGCTCATGCAATTGTTTGCTCTTCGGCGCCTGCCCCTGGCGCGCTCCGCGTGCCAGGGAGGGGGGTCCAGCGCCGATCCGAGAAAACGGCGCGGAACTCCGAATAATTATCCCTGTGCAGTTATCTGTTCCCCGAACTCTCGCAGCTCTCGGTGTTCCGGAGGTGTCTGGCGTCCGAATATTTATGTCGTGGACGCCCGAAATGGGCACGGAAAAAATCGGCACGATGCCGAACAACAGATGTTGTCCAAAATCGGCAGCGGCCGCGGTTGGGCAAGCGACATTCTGCCTCAAATGGACAACGCCCGCGGCGACGCTGGCAGCGAGTCCCGTTCAGAATTAGCAGGAACTGCTGCTGGTCTTTGTGCCAATCTTCCCGCACCCAATTCGATCGTCCCGATCTGTGTATGCTACGATGTGCTCCCCGGAGAACGCTGCATATCCCGCTGCGTTCCGTGATGCCCGGGGGCCCGGGTCTCCAGGGGGGCCCTCACGAAGGCCTCCCCCGGGGGTCTCCAGGAGTGCAGCGAGGCGCGTCGCCCGCCCAAGGGGGAGCCTGCGGGGGGGACCTGCGGGGCCTCCACGGCCCACAGAAGAACCACGAGCCCTGGCCCTCAAGGCACACGAGGGCATGCGTGAGTCGGGGAACGGTAGAAGAGGTAAGACGAAACCAGAACCGAGACAACATCGGAAATCTCTGAGAATCTGAGGGTCTGGAGGATGTATCGCGTGCCGCGGCCGTTTCTCAGCGTTCCAGGACGCTCAGAGAGCGTTCCAGAGCGCTCTGGAAGGGATTATCCTGATTCTAGGCCCGTCCGAAAAGGGGAAGAGGGGAAGAGGAAAGGGAACCAGAGAGAAAGGGGAGAGGAGGGAGGTGTTATGCCAGTTCCCATGCCGTGCGATTTATTTTTTGTGGCGACGGAGGCGTCCTGGAGCGTTGGAAATCCTTTGGAGGGTCTTTTCTCGGGGCTTCTTCGAGGCTCTCTTGGAGGGCTCTTGGGGCAATCGGACCCTTTGGAGGTTTGTCAAAGGCATGGCAGCCGGAAGAACGTCCGACCAATGACAAGAGGTACACGACATGGTTGTTCATCACTGTCGAACACCTCGGGAGCGGCCTGTAGCCATCCCCGAAGCTTGACCTGGACCGCTTGGGCCACCCAGATACCATGGAGGGGTTACCTTCGGCCCGTGGGGCTGTCCAGGAGGCCTCTCAGCGCGTCGTGGTGCAATTTTGGACACCACGCTCGATATTGGAGCTCCCTGACTTGCCGCAGGGGCCCCCTGGGTCCTGTGGCACGACTTCCGAACGAAGAAGGGGAGAAGAGGGAAGCGTCATGCTGATTTGCATGTTGCGCGGTTTCTTCTTGACTGGAAAGGCGTCTTGGAGTCTTGGAGTGTTGCCCGGGTGCCTCGTGGGGCATTGGGATCCTCGCAGGCTGTCTCGGCCCACTCCTGGAAGCCTCTTGTGGCCTCTTGGAGGCTCAGGGGCTCTCTGGGGGGGCCTCTTTGGGGTTCTTCTGGCTTCGCGCGGTGCGCGTTCGTGCATGGTATGGCGGCCTCTTGGAAGCTCGGGGACCTCGTCGAGATCCCTCTCGCTGCGCGGGGTGCGCGTCCGGGACGCTCAAGTTGTCCGCGTGGTGTGGTTTCTGGGGGCCTCTGGGAAGCATTTGGGCGACTTTTTGGGCTCTCCTGGGTGCCTCTTGGGTCGTCTTGGAAGCCAAGAAGGTAAGCACGAACAGACTTGGGAGCCATGGCCAGGAGACCCCAACAGACCCCCAAGAGACACAGATTCCTTGGAATCATCCCAGCAAATTGTCTTTGAGTTTGTTCGACCACGATTTGTTGACTTCGTTCAAATACCGTTACGTACGTGCCAGCCTTCATGCAACTGCGGAGTCATGGTGAACTTTCCCGCCAGAGTCTCTGTCTCCCGGTCCACAGCCTATTTTGGGGTTCAGCTGGAGTCCGCCCGGAACGATAGCGCTACTGACCTGCACCAAGCGTTTGAGACAACTGATGCTCCAAGAGTCTTCAATGAGACCTCAGAGAGGCATCTAAGAGGCCTCTGGCCCACAGGACCGACTGCCGTGTGGTCATGGCTGGCACGCCCATGTACTCGATGATGAAGGAAAGGGTGAGGTGAAGCAGGAAAGGAAGGCGGAGCGGATGTCGTGTAGAACGCAGTGCCCGTCTTGCTGACACCTCGCTGCGCCAACAAGTGAAGAGCATGACCCTACATCTCGAGAAGGTTGTTCCTGCACACGCGATTCAGAACGAAGCTACGGTGGACATCCAGGAGGCCCATCTGGCACACGTCGGCGAGGGCCTTGGTCAAGGCGTGTGCAACCAGCGTGATGGCGGAAGGAGGGGGATGTGGAGGCGGATACACGCAGGGAGCGCCTGCGGCTTGCCGAAGACAGGAGGAGGAGGAATAGCCATGTTTGCTTCCTCTATTCGCCTTTCCTTCTCCCGCTCGGCCGCCGCATCGCCCGTCTCCAACGGCTCATGCTTCTCTCTGTTTGCGCATACGCAATGCCCTGAGAGGCGACGAGCCTAGCCGTTCAATGCCGGGTAAACGCAAGAGGAGCAAGGAGACTGCACGGCTGGCACGCCCGCGCGGGGGGACCACAAGGAGGAGAGGGGGACGATGCCCAACAGCACACGCTGTCCCAAAGCCGGCCGCGGCCCCTGCCGGGCAGGCGACGTCTGGCCCCGAACTGAAACAACGCCCTCGGCGACACCGATAGCGAGCCCTGCCCCAAAATAGGCAGGAAGGGAGGCGAGCTCGGAAGAGATCCTCCCCGTGGCTTTCGGGCCATCACTGGGGCCTCTCTGGCGGCCGCTCCAAACGCCTCGAACGATTTGGGCACCCCCGGACGATCCAGGCACCACTGGAACGCCCTCTGCGAGGCGCAGCTGCTGGAAGGCACCCCGAGGCTGGACAACCCGCCACGAGCTAACGAACACGCCCGAACATCTTGAGCGCAGACCGCCCGAGGACCTCGAGAACCCCTCCTACATGTTCCCGTTCTTCCCGTCCCCACTTCGATCGTACCGGTTTGGGCCCCGCGGTGCTTCGCCAGAGCCGCATTCCCAGCAGCTGCGGGGACAGCAGGCGACCACAAACACATCGAGGACCCACGCTGGGGGATGTGTTGCGCATGCCAACAATCGAGAAGGCACCGAAATCAGCTTAGTACTGGTTGTGGCGGATGTGGGCGTGCCAGACGGCCAAGTCGACCACAACCACAACCGAAGTGTACATGTTGAGGTCGGTGGGTTCTCCCCCGATGGGGCCCTCCAGAAATATTTACATAGTTGTGGCTCCATGCTGTGCCCAGAGCAGCCCCCCCCCCTCTGGCAGCGGACCAGGCCTGCTGCCGCTCGAAGCGCGGCAACAGCGCCTCCAGCCTCTCGCGCTCCGCCCGCAGCTGCGCCACCAGCTCCCCGTTGCTCGGAGCCTGGCCGCGGCCACACCCCGTCGCGAGGCCAGCCTCCCCTCTGGCCCCCCCTCCCTCGGCTGCGCGCAATGAGCGACAGGCGTGGCTTCCGAGGGGAGGACCCTCACAGGAATGGGGAGGAGGAGGAGGAAGAGGAGGAGGAGGAGGAGGAAACGGAGGAGAAGCAGGAGGCTGTGGAGGGGGAGGAGGAGGAGGAGGAGGAGGAGGAGGAGGAGGAGGAGGACCAGTGTAAACCCGAAAGTCACCAACGATGTTGGAATAAACCCTCCCTGCAAACTCCCGCTTCATAGGCCCCATACAACGGTTCACCTCCTCTGAGGGAACTGCCTCGTTGGAAGACAACCGTTTGAAGACCCTGAAGCATGCCACAGCATTGTTCTCGGGATTCCATCGCCACGGGTCAACCTGACTGTTGCGTCTTGACGATCCTGAATCGTGCCAGACTGCTATTCCTGGGACTTCAACACCGCGAATCAACGTAACCGTTGATCCTCATAATCCTGAATCGCTCGAAAACACTAATTCTGATACGTTGATCGTCACTTCTTGATTTTTTCAAAAGATGCGCGGTACTAAAGCGAAGGCCACATGTTGAAAAAGAAACGTCCTCAATCCGTGAAGCTCTTGCATTTTTCAACACGAATGTATGCGGCGCTAGGGCGAGAACCACATTTTGGAAACGTGCCGCCCTCGATCCGTGAAGCTCTTCCAAATGATTAAAACAAATGTGCGCAGCGCTAAGGCGAGAACCACATTTTGAAAACGTGCCGCCCTCAATCCGTGAAGCTGTTGCAGATGTTTCAGCTTCAGGGTCATAAATGGTGAGGAAGTCTTAGGCGGGCGAAACGCCTGGCCCGCCCTAAAAACTGGCTCCGAGGTGCGACAGGGAGGAACAACCTATAAGGAAAAGGAATGGAGGAGGAGGGGGAGGAGGAGGAAGAGGATGAGGATGAGGAGGATGAGGAGGATGAGGAGGATGAGGAGGAGCAGGAGGAGCAAGACGTGCAGGAACAGAGAAGAACGGGAGGCTCCGCTCCTCCTCCGCTTTGCCCCCCCATCCCCCGCGTTGCCGCCAGACCGCCCTCGGGGCGCGCCTTCCCCAGGCCGTCCGCCCCGGTGCCGCGGTCGCGCGTTGGCGCCTGCTGCGCTGGCGGCTGGGCCGGGGCCTGCCGCTGCACTCGCGCTGCATGGTCCTGCTTCCAGTGCTGCTTCGAGCGCATGGCCTGCAGCGGCCGTCCTCCCTCGTCCTCGTCGTCGTCGTCCTCGTCGTCGTCCTTTTTACGTTGAGCGGACTCTAATCCTCGGGATTGTTTCATCTGCGTCCTCCTCCTCCTCGTCTTCCTCTTCCATCTCTTCCTCGTCCTTGTCCTCCTCCTCCTCCTCCTCCTCTTCCTTCTCCTCCTCTCCTGCTCCGCCTCCTCCTCCGCCTCCTTCTTCTTCTTCTTCTTCTCCTCCTCCTCCTCCCGACGAGGTTTGAGTTTGTTGTTGCATTTTGCTATTGAGGCTTTTGGGAGGGAGAACTCCAGGAGGCTTCTCGTCGTCACGGCTGAATTCCCCTCGCCATTCTGGCCAGAGCGGACCTTGGGAGAGGTCCAGATCATTCGCATCGTGCGGAGCAGACGTCCAACGCTCCGCGAGCACAGTGTAATCTTGAATGGCCCGCGAGGCGACCGCGTGAGCCCCTGCCAGCCCTGCTCGGGGAGCCCCCTCGAGGAAAAGCACGGCAACAAAAAATGTGAGGGTCCCGCGCCGCGCGGATGGGGGGAGGGAGCGCGAAGGGCGGGTGGGTGGGGAACGCGAGGGGGAGCGGGGAGTGGTGCAGTCGGTGATCGGAGAGGTTACAGAGGAGGACACAAGACCCTTCCGAGGGCCACACTGCCAGAGAAATGTAGAAGGCATGGCTCGCGAAACACAGGACATAAGGGTGCCCTTTGTTTGGCAGGGTCGACCCACCAATCACCCTCACACCGTAACCCTCTGGCCGCTGCATGATCCCTCTGTTACGGCACTGCTTGACATCGCTCGGCAGGCGCTTTTCCGAGGAGAGCAAGGAGAGAGAGAGAGAGAGAGAGAGAGAGAGCGCGGCGAGGGAAGGGAGCGCGTAGTGAGGGCCAATGGGGGAGTGGTAGCTCGCGACCTGTCCGCCCTCTGGCTGATGGCACTGCTTGGCAACCGCTTGCAGGGGGCGAGACGCGTCCTCTGTGAGCTAACCCCAGGATCAGTCACACAGGAGCCCTCAGACAAACATCGCGTGCCCTATGGTGCCAGGGGGTTCAGGAAGGGGGAATGGAGAGAGGAGGAAATGATGATAGAAACAAGACGTCATAAACATACTGTTTCGGAGGTGCGCACGGATTTCTTGGATCGGCGCTGGACCCCCTCCCTGGCGCGCGGAGTGCGCCAGGGGCGGCGCTGGAGGCGTTGCCAAGGAAGGGACCAACGCCGATCCAAGAAATCCGTTTTTATGCTGTTTTTTTGATCGAGATGAAGAAGAGGAGGGGGGATGAGGACAAGACGGTCGACGGGAAAGGATGAAAAGGGGAAGGTGGGAAGGCTTGCTGGTGGGCGCTCGTTCAATCGGCCCGTCTCCTCCATCCTGCCGTTCCTCCCCTCCCTGCCGGTCCTGGTCAAACGAGGCCTCCCAGCGGTGCATCTTTGGGAGAACTGGCGGAACAATCTCATCGGCGACCTCGTCCACGCCGACATCTGGCCTGCTGCTCGTATCGATGGCCGCAATGACCCGCGCTGGTGGCCTCCGTGGCATCTGGGCCCGCCCTGAAACCACTCTGGGTTGCCCTGAACCGAAAAGCGTGGGCACCACAGGACCGGCTCTCTGGAGCTCAGCGCCCCCCGCCCCTTCGCAGGAGAAACAAAGGCATGGAACATGGGCTTTCGCAGGAGGTCCGCGTGGACTGCTCGGGCCGCCCCCCCCCCCTTCCCGCACGCCTTCCCCAGCGTGGGCCGCGCGCTGGGGGCGGCACCCAGGGTTGCGGGAAGGGGGGCTCGCCAGCGCCGATTCAAAAATTTCGCGTGGATCTCCGACAAGCTATGCTCCCAGACAACCGATGTCCGGTTCTGTTAATATGGCCCCCCCGCCAGAAGTCCCGACCCTTTCCCTGGGCCGGTTTGTCATCTCAAGTTGTTTTGTGACGGTCCCCGGGCCCGGCGAGGGACCCTAGAGACCAAAAGCAGCCCCAAAACCCTCCGTCTTGAGGCTTCAATGCGTTGGATGTCTGGGCTGCTGCCCATCGACAATCGGCTTTCCGGCTCAGGGCCACCTACGAGGGGTTCTGGGTAGGCCCTCGTTGCAGAGCCTCGGCGCGGTGGGCTTGACGAGGCCCGCCGGCACGGGCAGCACCACGGGTCCGTCTGTTCTCCCGCTGGACGGCGCTTGCGACGCTGCATCGGTCTCCTTCAGAAGAAGAGCAGACGGCGTAAGCAACAACTTTCGGAGGTGCGGGCGGATTTCTTGGATCCGCGCTCGGCCCCCCCTCCCTGGCGCGCGGAGCGCGCGATGGGCGGTGCCCGAGTTACCGCCAAGGGGGTCCCAGCGCAGATCTAAAGAACTCCGTGCGGACCTCCGAATACTTTCAGTGGTGCACATGTCCTAATTCGATCCTTGCCGTACCATTCGATGCGGCGCGTCAACAGCTCGATCTGGGTGGCTACGACCTGGGGTGGACGGCCGCAAGACACAGCGCAGATGGATGCCGTACAGGCAGCACTCAGTGTCTTCGCTGATGGTCCTCATGGTCACTCGAGCCACGTTTCACCTTCGCGAACACTGATGCAACACATATATATCTATATATATATATATACGTATTCTATTGTGCTGTACCACCTTACGGTCTAGTATGGTATACCATATTGTACAATATTGCACATCACACGATTCTTTTATTTACATCATCTCACATTCCATCATATTGTATTCAACCATAATCTACAACGCTATAGAAAAATATATTGAAATCGTTGGTGCTATTAGATTGAACTGTACTGTATAGTTATACTGGATCATGCCTTCACAGCATACCATACTTTATAATAGGTGGTGGCGTAATAGATTAAAGCATGGTGAGATGATACGTTCGTGTATTCGAGTATGTGATAATATACCATATTATACTCTGTTTTTGTTTAGTAGGAGTGTGTATATATACAAACAATATACTATGTTACATGTTACTGGACACCTTATACTACAGTGTAGTACATTAGGTTCCCGCATCTTATATCACCGTCTATTTAAACATGTAGTATAACGTAGCTAACGCATTATAATATAACATGTTATGGCATAGCATGTAAGCGTTTAGTATATCATCTACCAGTATGATATGCAATGCTTACTCACATTAGCATGTACACTATCAGGTTACAATATACTGTGTTATGGGTACGGTATCATAGCATGAAGGCAAACAACACACAACACACATGTATGTATACATATATATATATGTGTATGTATAAACATCTATGCGTATGTGTATATATTGTACGTGTATAGAGAGAGTGAGAGAGCCGGGCCATGGCTGGTGCAGCTTCGAATCAAGATGGGAATCCATCGTGCGCGCCGATTCATAACAAGGGGGCCAGCCATGCCCTGAGACGTATCCCCCCTCGCAGCCACGGCGCGCCCAAGTGGCAGTTGAGGTCAAGATTGAAAACTTTGACTCCAAACAAGAATCAGAAAACGATGCCAACCGCGGGTGCGCCTCCCCCTGGGTCGCAACGGCCTGGGTGAGCCGCTGCACTCGGGAGCCTTGGCAATGGCATTCCGCATCGGGGCGTAGACTCTTTTTCTTGGGGGAGGGGGAGCTGCCAATTGTTTCTGAACTGTGCCTCATTGTCGGGATCCTGGCGGCCAGATTCGGGAACCTCCACCGCCGTCATGCTGGCGAGGAGAGTTATGGACACGCCCAGTCGGATGAGTCCCCCGAAAGACTGGCAGCTCCACAAGAGGAGCCTCAGCCCTTTTGACCACATCGCGCATGCTTTGTTGCCTCTCCAGGAGCTCACTGAACACTTCTGTTTGGGTTTGTTTTGTTGTCTCTTCAGACAGCGCAACAGATTAACCTCTGGATGCCAGCGCAGCGAAAGAACGCAGAATTAATTCCTCCCCCCAGCCTAACCAGGAAATAGCTACAACGTGAAAGACGCATACGCCAACCCAGCCTGGAACACCGCACGAGCAGGGCAAGCCCATGCATCGGACCGTAGCCTGGAGCTCGCTGAAAGGAGCTTGCACTGTGGTGCAGGGATCGTGAAGTTGCAATTGCCCTCGCAACGCGAAGCTGAAACATAACGACTGAATCTAGCCGTGGACCTGCTGTATCCGTGCATTGCCACGGGCGGAAAGTCTTCAACCAAAATGGCCACGGGAGGAGGAGTAGGACTCGGAGCCGTCAAAAACAGCTCGGGATGAAAAGCTGGCACTGGGGACAGGGTCGGGACTTTCAAGGGACCGCGTATTGAAACAAAGAAAACATCGCATGTCTGGGTCCCGCCGGCTGAGTTCACGCCGGAGCAGCGCGATCGCATCGGCAGGCATCGCGCGGAGGCAAGAGAGGGCGGCGCAGACGTCGCGCTGCTTCTTGGCCTTTCCAGGCTTCCAGGCGATCTTCGATCCGACCTCAGGCAGGTGTGCAGCCCAACGTACGCAGCCCCCCGGCGGATAGAGGCCGAGCGCAACCGGCCTGCATCCGACCGACCGACCTCATCCTCCTCTGTCGTCCTGCCTGGCGAGGACGACGACGACGACGACGACGACGACGACGACGACGACGACGACGGCCACGGCGACGACGAGGACGACGGCGGCGGCGGCGGTGGCGACGAGCGGCGCGCCTGGCGCGCCCACGGCCCCTGGCGCCTTCGGGCCGCAGCTCGGCTCTGCGGCGGCCGTTCGGGACGATCTGGGCACACCCGGACGCCCTCGGCGAGGCGCAGCTGCCGGAGAGCATCCCAGAGAATAATCTGCGTGTTGGCTCCGACGGCTTCCTCGTCCTCGCGGAGGACCTGTGCGCACGCTCCTGGGCACCCCTGGCTCGCAGGGCGGCCGAAACGACCACGGCGTCCAGACCCGCACATCTCTTGACAAGCGCTTTCCACTACTCGCAAAGCAACTACTCGCACATGGCCTGGATCCGCCGCGGTGGATTTGCCATTCATTACGTCGAAGCACTGATGTGTTTGTCAGACGCTTGCGAATGTAACATTTGCGAATCATTAATGGAACGCGCTCGGTGAATCCCGGGAGAAGAGACGCGGGCCAGCTCCGCTGGGCCTGCTTCGGGCTTGGCTCGGGCTCGGACGACAGACCGTGTTATACAGTCAACACTGATGATAAGGATGCGCGATACGGATGCAAGGGCCTTGGACGCCCATACCGAAGCTTGTCGAACGGGGCTGGTCATCGAAAGTGGTTAAGGATGGACCGAAGATGCCCGAAGAGGCAGGGATGCAAGGGTACCCTTGGGAAGTCGATCATCCTTAGTATCAGTTTCCACTGTACATTCAATGTTTAGCGAATCTACTTGCATGACAGTTCCCCCCTCCCGCCGCCATTTCCAACAGCGCTGGACCGAAGAGACGTGTAAGTGAGTCCCGACTTGCGTGAAACCCAAGTTTCCTTTGGACCTCGCCACGCCGCCCGCCTCCCTCCCGTGCAAGCACACCTGCCAGAGTTTGAAAGGAGCACCGCCCCCTGGCTTCCGGGTCATAGCTCGAGTCTCCGGCGGCCGTCCGGGACGACCTGATCACTCCTGGAACGTCCTCGGCGACGCGCAGCCACTGGAGAGCAGTCCTGGGCCAGAGAATCGCCAACAAGCCGACAGCAGCCGACGTAGCGAAAAACTGAAACATGGTGAACACCATCCGCCACTCGTCAGGGGCCCAGACACAAATTCCGAAATCTCCTGGGGCTTGTCGCGGTTCCCCTGGCCTTCCCGGCAACTTCTCGCGTGACTTTTTCTGACCCAGGAGGGCCCCAAGACGGGCCAAGAGGGCCCCAAGAGGCACCCAAGACGGTCCACTGAGGCCCCGAGTCGCCGAACGATCGCTCCAAGACGCTCAAGATGGTCGCCTGACGACCCGAGATGCCTCCAAGATGCACAAAGGGGCCTCCAGGCGGCCTCCCAGCAGGGCCCCTAAAGGCCAAAATCATTGAGTTGCCGTAGGTTGTTGAAGGACTTTGGCGTTCTCGCCTTTTCGGCTTCCCGACGCTCCTAGACAGCCCTAGTAGCCCCCAAGGTTGCCCCAAAACAGCCCCAAGAGGGCTTCAAAACGGCCCAAGAGGGCCCCAAGACAATCCAAGAGGCCCCCCAAAAACAGCCCAAGGGGGCTCCAAGACGGCCCCCAAAGAGGGAACACGAACAGAAAATCCAAGCCTTCCGCCCCAAGAGGCCCCCAGGAGGCCCCAAGAGGCTCCAATAGGCCCCCATACGGCTCCCAAGAAGCTCTCCAAAGGCCCCAAAAAGGCTCTAAGAGGCCCCTATACCCAGGAGGCATCCAAAATGCCTCCAAGAGGGCTCCAAGAAGCCCTCAAGACGGTCGAAGGAGGCCCCGAGTCGCCGAACGATCGCTCCAAGACGCTCCAGATGACCCCCAGACGGCCCAAGAGGCCTCCAAGACGCCCAAAGAAGCCTCCAAGAGGCATCCAACCAAGGCCCCGAGAGGTAAACATCATTGAATTTCTCTTCGTTGTCGGCTCCCCGACGCTGCCCGACGGCCCTAGAGGCCCGACGGCCCAAGAGGGCCCCAAGACAGACGGAGAGGCGACCAACACGGCCCTAGAGGGCCCCAAGAGGGGCCCCAAGACGGTCCCAAAAGAGGGAACACGAAGCGAACATTCAAGCCTTCCGCCCCAAGAGCCCCCAGGAGGCCCCAAGAGGCGCCCAGGAGGCCCCCAAGAGACCCCCAAGAGGCTCCAAAGACGCTCCAACAGGCCCCCAAACGACCCCCAAGAGGCGTCCAAGTTGCCTCCAAGAGGCCCCTGAGAAGCTCATATGATATCCCAACGACCATCCGATAGGCCTCATACCCACATCCCATGCACGGTGGCGGGATGGGCCGAAGGCCATTAACTACGGCTACTAGATTCTCTCAAGCCGGATCGATATGTGATGGTCCCGGGACTTGAAATAAAGCGAAAACGCCCAGCTCGAAAAAAGTATACGCCAAGATCTTAGGGACGAAACCTTCGAAAACTTCGAACCTCAGCCAGAGGGAGGAAAAACGACGACGACGACGGCGACGAGTGGCGCGCCCGGCGCGGGATCTCGGCCTGCCGCGGGTCGTGCAAGCACAGGTCCTGCAGCTGCTCCTGGCTCTCCGCGAAAAGGGAGACCAGCCGGTCCACCCGGGCGGGCCTCCTCCGCGGAGGGGGTCTTCGGTGGGGGGGGCTGACGGGGAGGGAAGGGAGGGGGGGGGGGAGGGGAGGAGGGGGGGAGGGAGAGGGAGGGAGGAGGGGCTTTTCGGGGATGGGTGGGAGGGAGGAGGGAGAGGGAGGAGGGATGAGGGAGAATGGGTAGGAGGAGGGAGTAGGGAGGAGGGAGGAGGAGGGAGGAGGAGGGAGGAGGGAGAAGGAGCAGGAGGAGGAGGAGGAGGAGGAGGAGGAGGAGGAGGAGGAGGAGGAGGAGGAGGAGGAGACGGAGGAGGAGGAGGAGGAGGAGGAGGAGGAGGAGGAGGAGGAGGAGGAGGAGAGGAGGAGGAGGAGGAGGAGGAGGAGGAGGAGGAGGAGGAGGAGGAGGAGGAGGAGGAGGAGGAGGAGGAGGAGGAGGGAGGAGGGAGGAGGAGGAGGAGGAGAGGAGGAGGAGGAGGAGGAGCAGGAGGAGGAGGAGCAGGAGGAGGAGGAGCAGGAGGAGGAGGGAGGAGGAGGATTTTGGATTGCAAGCGTGATGAACCAGGATGGCTGTCACGAATGGGCGGCGCTGCAGCTAGCAGATGCCTTTTATAGCGCAGGCAGGCAAGCTGGCTGAACGAAAAAGCTGAGATATCTGCACGGGCACCAAGAACGCAAGTACAGTACAGTACGATGGGACCCCCGCGACAGAGCGGACGGAACGCGTCGAACCGAAACAAGGAGTCCAGACCCTCCCAATCCTCCTCGCTGCATCCCCCACCCTTCAATATGGGCAACTGGACGGCAAACGCGAAAAGCTGCGACAGTGGCTTGCTGTGCCCGTCCAGGGCATTCGGGTGGAGGGGCGGAGGGAGGGAGGGGGAAATTAAGCGAACGAGGAGGAGAGAAGAAGGCTGGGACGCAACCGAAAACTTCCTGCTCGTAAGCCTGCGACGGGGCAGACGGCACACGTCGGCACGAGTGGCGAGGCTAAGGGAAAATCACAATCAAGCGTGATGCAGATCTCCTCATCCTCTCCTCCCTCTCCTCAAACAATCCTCTACAAATCAAGCGGCCGGCATCGGGTCGAACAAGGAATCGAACTGCCGATTCGTGGCTCTCGGCCACTCGGGAAGAGGAGGGGAGGGATGGAGGGAGGGAGGCGACATGATGATGAAGACGGGAGGGAGGGAGAAGGCTGGGACGCAGACCAATCACCTCCTATTCTCGTGAGCGCAAGAAATAGGCCGCGTGGAGCACCACAACGGGAATTACCACACGGAAATCTTGCCAAGATAAATGTCGTACCTGAGCGAGGGAAGGACAACTTCGCACCCTCGCGACACGGTCGAAGAGCGATGCGCATAGAGATACACAGCAGCACGGTTATCGAAGCGCCATCGTCGGAGGTCCTGGACGCACCCACCTATACAAATGCATCAGAAAAAGGTCTTCGCACACTCTGCTGCATGGTGGCGAATGGCTAGATTCCCGGACACGTTTCACTCGAACCCATTTCCACCGCAAGCTCATTCCCAACGCCAGAACGTATTTCCGAAAGGGCGGCCGGCTGGATGGCAGCCCTATCACGCGCTCAAGCTCGGCGGGCGCAGAAGGGACTTCGCTCTCTCCAGCTCCAGGCGTCGGGGCGGCCGTGTGGCTCGCGGCGAGCCGCACGAAGGCACCAGCAGCCGCGGGGCGGGCCTCGGCCGCGCGGCCCGCGCGGGAGTGGTCGGCAGCGTGCGGCGGCGGGCAGCTCGTCCCAGGTGCCGTGGTCAGGCTCGCCGGGAGCACGGGGGGGCGACTGGGAGGAAGTCCCCGAGCAGCCCCAGGTGCCTCTGTGGACCCCCACAGCCGCTTCCAGGCAGCGCCTTCGGCCGCCCGACTGGTGCCCAGAGGCTGCCGCGCCACCTCCCCCGGGCCCCGAGAGGGGGCGCTGGGGGGGAGGGGCCTGCCCACTGCCGCTGCGCGGGCCAACGGGACGACGTGCGCCTCTGCGACCGCGCCTCTGCGACCTCCAGCAACAGGCGGGGTCACAGCAGCCGGGTAGATCGGCGAGACCACGACGACGTCGCTTTGCACGGGCTCGCGCTGCACGTGCGCCTCCAGCACCGGCGCGGGCTCGGAGGCGGTGGGAGTCAAGGCTGCGCGCCTGGCCTCCGCTTCTGCCACCAATCGTTGTAGCTCGCACACTCTAGTACGGTGACTCTGCACGAGCGGGAAATCCGGAGCCGTCCGTTCGAGGCTGAGCAGGATGCGTGTCAGCCGGGACACATGCTGATAAAGGAGGCGGATCTCTAGATCCGCAGCCTGGCTGGCCGAAGTGGGCCTGCAGCGCTGTACTCGCTGCATCTCTGTCCGGCGTGGCGGGGCAGCCTCGGGCGGAACGGCCGCAGCTTGGGCCGGCTCTGACGGCGAATGGGCAACTGGCACTGTCACTGCAAACTCGGCATCGGCACCAGCTTCACCATCCACATCTCGCTGAGCATCGAGGGTGCTGCCTGCCACTGCTAGCACTTCACGCACGGGCTGATCGGGGTCCCGGAGCTCTTGATAGCGGGCTCCAGCTTCACTGTCAACAACTCGCTGAGCATCGAGGGGGCCGGCTGCCACTGCTAGCGCTCCCCGAACGACCTCCCCCACTTCGCCGTGCCGATGCTCCGCAGCAGGCTCGTCCGAGCTCTCAGCGAAGGCGGCCTGCACGGCGGCCTCCAGGTGCTCCTGCTCGGGGAACGCCACGGCGGGGACGGCCTGCGTCCTGGGGGCAGATTCCCGGGGTGGATCCGGCCGTGGCGACGAGGCGGGGGAGTCAACGGCGACACAGCCCGATGGGCTAGGTAGGGGGGGCCGCCTCGTGGGGGGATTCCCATCTTTATTTTCTTTTGATGGGTCTACTCCGGGGTGGAGCGCCCTTGGGGTCTGGGCACTCAAGCCCTTAGCAGCGGCGGCCGCGGCATCCGCCGCACTCGCAGCGGGAAGCGGGGTGGGGCCCGTAGGCTGCCTCGCCGCCTCCCCCGGGCCCCGACAGGGGACGCTGGGGGGGAGGGGCTTGCCCACCTCCGCCGTGCGGCCATCCCGCCCAGCGGCCACAGGCCCGGCCGCGGCCGCGGACTCGCCTTCGGCGAGACGCCTCCGTCGGCCCTCGCCTTCGTCCCCCTCCAGCGGCGGCGGCGTCGTGCAGGGCTCAGCCGGCACTGCAGCGGCCGGAGCGCCAGGCGGCGGTGGCGCTGCCAGCGGCGGTGCAACCGGTGGCGGCGCCAGCGGACCTCCACCAGCGGGCGGGGCCACAGCAGCCTGGGATACCTGCGAGACGGACTCATCAGACGAGTCGGCAGCACCGTCGGGGCCGTCCTCGCCACCCACATCTCGCTGAGCAGCGAAAGTGCCGGATGCCACGTGCTGTAGCTCACGATGTCGGGCTCCAGCTTCGCCACCCACATGTCGCTGAGCAGCGATCGGGCCGGCTGCCACTGCTCGTCCTCCTCGCTCGCAGCTCGGAGGCGGCCCCGACGGCAGCTTCGGCCACCACATCGGCGCGGCGGCAGCTGGGGGCGGCAGCGCGGCGGGCACCCAGTACCGCGCAGCCGGCACCGCGCAGCCGGAGCACTTGACGTGCGCATGGGCGTCGCTGGCGGCGGCGGCGCGCTCCAGCACCGGCTCGGGCTCGGCCGCCCGACGATCATCATGATCATCATGTCTATGGCCTGCACGGCCGCCAGCTGCGGGAACGGTACGAGCAGCCACTCGAGCGAGACTGGCCACGTCGCTCATGAGCGGCCGGCGGCCAACGCGGGCCGCGAAGCCGAGCCTGCGCACAGCGGCGCGCAGGCTCGGTCTCGGCCGGTCGCCATGGCGCCAGCCGGAAGAGGCTCGTGGGGCGCGGCCAGCCCGCCGCTCGCCTGGGCAGGGCGCGGCGAGGCGGCCGGCGCGCATGGCAGCTGCCCGGCGCGCGAGGTGCACTGCTCCTGTGGCAATCCCAAACACCTCGGGCAGGGGCGGCGGCTGGGAGGAGGAGGGAGGAGGGAGGAGGAGAGAGGAGGAGGAGGGAGGGAGGAGGAAGGACTTTTCGGGGGGGGGGAAGGAGGAGGAGGAGGAGGAGGAGGAGGAGGAGGAGGAGGAGGGAGGAGGAGTAGAACCGTCGAGGCTTCGGGTTGCACACGGGCGCCGCCTCCGGCCGCGCCTCTAGGGCGTTCGGCGTCACGGGGTTGAGGTGCTGAGGCCGCCCTGGACTACTCGGGGGAGCTGCCGAGGGCAGCTTGGACTACGGCCGGACCAAAGACAGAAGAACATCCTTCAAGAGCATGAGAACCTCCGCTGGCCAAAACACCCAGATTACGCTACCGAGGAACCCCACATACTGATTTTATATCTTGTGTGCCACGCCTGCTATGCCTGGACGACCCTGGCACGCATAGGGAGACCACCCCCTGCGCACCCCCTCTGGTGTCGAGAAAATGCCACGCCTGCTATGCCTGGACGACCCTGGCACGCATAGGGAGACCACCCTCTGCGCACCCCCTCTGGCGTAGAGAAAATGCCACGCCTGCTATGCCTGGACGACCCTGGCACGCATAGGGAGACCACCCTCTGCGCACCCCCTCTGGTGTCGAGAAAATGCCACGCCTACTATGCCTGGACGACCCTGGCACGCATAGGGGGACCACCCCCCGCGCACTCCCTTCTGGTGTCGAGAAAATGCCACGCCTGCTATGCCTGGACGACCCTGGCACGCATAGAGAGACCACCCCCTGCGCACCCCCTCTGGTGTCGAGGAACTGCCACGCCTGCCGTGCCCTGCGCCATGGCCCGCATAGACGCCGCGCTCAGGGACCACCCCCTGCGCACCCCCTCTGGTGTCGAGGAACTGCCACGCCTGCCGTGCCCTGCGCCATGGCCCGCATAGACGCCGCGCTCAGGGACCACCCCCTGCGCACCCCCTCTGGTGTCGAGAAACTGCCACGCCTGCCGTGCCCTGCGCCATGGCCCGCATAGACGCCACGCTCAGGGACCACCCTCTGCGCGCTCTGCCTGGGGTCGAGAAACTGCCACGTCTGCCGTGCCCTGCGCCATGGCCCGCATAGACGCCGCGCTCAGGGACCACCCCCTGCGCACCCCCTTCTGGTGTCGAGAAACTGCCACGCATGCCGTGCCCTGCGCCATGGCCCGCATAGCGCGCGCTCAGGACCACCCCCTGCGGCGCCACCCCTCTGGTGTCGAGAAACTGCCACGCCTGCCGTGCCCTGCGCCATGGCTCGCATAGACGCCGCGCTCAGGGACCACCCCCTGCGCACCCCCTCTGGTGTCGAGAAACTGCCACGCCTGCCATGCCCTGCGCCATGGCCCGCATAGACGCCGCGCTCAGGGACCACCCCCTGCGCACCCCCTCTGGTGTCGAGAAACTGCCACGCCTGCCGTGCCCTGCGCCATGGCCCGCACGCCGCGCTCAGGGACCACCCTCTGCGCGCGCCTTCGTAGGAAAATGCCATGCTGCACGGCCTGCGCCAGGCCCGCATAGACGCGCGCTCAGGGCCCACCCCTGCCACCCCCCTCTGGTGTCGAGAAAACTGCCACGCCTGCCGTGCCCTGCGCCATGGCCCGCATAGACGCCGCGCTCAGGGACCACCCCCTGCGCACCCCCTCTGGTGTCGAGAAACTGCCACGCCTGCCGTGCCCTGCGCCATGGCCCGCATAGACGCCGCGCTCAGGGACCACCCCCTGCGCACCCCCTCTGGTGTCGAGAAACTGCCACGCCTGCCGTGCCCTGCGCCATGGCCCGCATAGACGCCGCGCTCAGGGACCACCCCCTGCGCACCCCCTCTGGTGTCGAGAAACTGCCACGCCTGCCGTGCCCTGCGCCATGGCCCGCATAGACGCCACGCTCAGGGACCACCCTCTGCGCGCTCTGCCTGGGGTCGAGAAAATGCCACGCCTGCCGTGCCCTGCGCCATGGCCCGCATAGACGCCGCGCTCAGGGACCACCCCCTGCGCACCCCCTTCTGGTGTCGAGAAACTGCCACGCCTGCCGTGCCCTGCGCCATGGCCCGCATAGACGCCGCGCTCAGGGACCACCCCCTGCGCACCCCCTCTGGTGTCGAGAAACTGCCACGCCTGCCGTGCCCTGCGCAGAGAAGGAGAGGGAGGAGCCACGCCTGCCGCGCTCTCCGTGAGGTGAGAAAGAAGGAAAAGGAGAGGGAGGAGAAGGAGGAGACGCGGGTGAGACGCGGAAGGGAAGAAAACCAGAACCCCACGAAGCATGTGGGGAATCAGAACCGTGTGTGTGTGGTATGGTATGGTGTGGTGTGGTGTGGTGTGATGTGACGGATGGCGTGGTGTGGTGTGTGTACGAGTGAGAAGGAGGAGGTGAGGAGAAGAAACGCGGGTGCGACGCGGGTGTAGAGAAAATCAGAACCCCACTTAGAATGTGGGGAATAACTTACAACATGCCTCCAATAGGCGCTTTGACTGTCCCAAGGCAGCTCCAAGTGGCCACAGAGCTTCCAACGGACCCCGCCGCGAGGCCAAACTGCTTCCCAAACCTATCGGAGATCACTGGTTTATGGCTTTCTCGCCTGGTCGCTTCGAACGGCCTTCCAAGGCCTCAAGATGGCTCCAAGATGGCTCGAAGGAGCCTGGAAGAGGGCCCATGGGAGAGGCCCAAAACGGCCACAGGAAAGCCCAAGATCGCTCCAAGACGGCCCAAAATACCCTCAAGACAGTCTCCGAACCCCCTAAGCCGCGCACGTTGGCAATCAAGACTTCTATGCTTTTCGCGTTCTCGCTTTCTCCTCGTCGTCGTCGTCGATGCCGTCGAGGTCGTGGTCGTGATCGTCGTGGGCGTGGTCGTGGTCGCCCCCGTCAGGATCGGCGGTACCGGCCGGAGGGGGGGCCTGTGCAAAATACCAGAACATCGGCAAAAGGATCCGGTGCAATCGGTACTCAAGAAAGCTCCTACCTCCGCGCCAGACAACAGCATACCCACATTTGTGTTAGCGGTGGGCTACAGCATTCTGGTCAACGGCATTTTGAACACTGGTTGGGCGGACGAACCTGCGAACGTCTCAATCCGACCAACAATTTGGGCGTATGCGGTTGAAGGAGGTAGCTCTTCCGACCTCCTCGTGCCCTTTCGAAGGAAGGTTTACCTTTTCTACCTCCTCTAACTCTGGACGGGTCCGACCGCGGGTCGTCAATATATCCTAGATGTCCCAAGACTGCGCCATATAGCCTGAGAGGGGCCCCAACACTACACAATCTAACCCAAACTGGCTTACAACATGCCTCCAAAAGGCGTCTTGCCCGTCTCGGGAAGGCTCCAAACGGCCACGAAGCCTCCCCATGTCCCCGCCAAAAGGCCAAATAGTTCCCCAAACGGTTTTCCCATCCTGTCGGGCATCACTGGTTTATGGCCTTGTCGCCCGCTCGCATCTAGCGGCCTTCCGAAACCTCAATATGGCTCCCAGATGGCTCAAGGGAACCCCAAGAGGCGCCCAATCGGGCCCCAAGGGCGCCCAAAAGGAAACCAATATGGCCCCAAGCGTTGATTGATCACCAACCCTTCTTTTATATGTTGGCCAACGCGGGCCCCGAACATTGTTTCTAGCAGTTTATGTGGTGATATATATATATATATATATATATATATATATGTATATATATGGAACAACCTACGTGACGCAATCTGGAGCAACAAAGGCGGTGCAATTCGCCCTGCCGAATTTGTTGTCAACTTCGCGGCTCGCGCAATCATCCCACCCACCCGCCCGTAACTTGGTTTGCAAAACCCATGCGGCGGCGATTGCGATGAGTGCTTGACGTTGGCTGGTGCGTCTCTGCGGCCGCTCTGGCCCGCGCGCGCTGGCGCGAAGGAAACGGCCACCTAGTTTGGTGCGGCCGCCGCGGCCGCGGTGGCGCTGACCGCCGGGCACTTCCAAGCGGGCATTTCATGGCGAGTCGGCGACTCGGGCGGGCGCGGTGTCATGGCAACGTCGGCGACGGTAGACACAATGATGGTCGTAGCGATGCTGGTGACGATGGTGACAACGACGTCGGTAAGGCCACTGACGGCGCCGATGCCAATTACGCCGACGACGATGACGGCGTCCTCGCGTTAGTGATGAAGTTCTTGGAAATAGTTCGACACGCGCACGCGGACGACGCGCGAGGATGGCCCGCATGGTTTGATTTGACACGGGTCGTGCCACCACCAGCACGCGCGCAACGGTGTTCGAACGATGCATGCGGTGAGGGAACCCCACTTGGCCGAATTAAATGAAAATGTTGGAAGCTGGTGGTTTCCGTACGCATTCGCAAAAGCGCGAGCGCAGCTGTTGTTGTTTGAAAGCTGATATTGCAAAACCATGCGTTGTTCACATGTGTACGGAAAACTCATCCTGACAAGACCTACGGTTCTTGACGGAGTTTGGGCTTGCGCGCGTGACGACGCGCGCGTGTGCACTTAGTCCCGTCGTTTGCAAAGGATTCTTGCGACAGCACGCGCGCAAGGGAGTTCGAGCGATTTCGGCACGCGCGCGTGAAAAGCCCGTCTGGTAGCATGCTCTGAACAAGTTGGTAAACGCGTGGTTTTCTTAAGACTTCGCAAGGGCGCGAACGCAGGATTTTTTTGTTTTCTTCACTCGCGACGTTGCGAAATCAAGTGCTTCTATACGTTCTCGAGGCACTCGATTGTAACCCCTTTACAGAAACTATGTTGTTTTCGCTGGTTTCGGCCTGCGGGCGCGACTACGCGCGCGCGCACTTCGCCCCACGTGTTGAAAATATGTTTGAAAACGGATGCGGTTTGATCAACGAGTGCGCGCGCATATTTTGTTGTTGCAGAGGATGGATACGGGGGAAGCCAGCCTGCCTGGATGGTATGAATTCATATCTCGGATGGACGATGGGACACAATCATCTGAAATTGCCATACGAAAAAGGGTCCCCTCAATTCTCGGGGGGGGGGCGATTTCATTGCTTAAAAAAAGGGA